AAATATATATGTAGATCTGCATGTCAGACACGGCAAAATATTGATGAAAGAATTCAAATACCTAAATAAATAGAGAAACATGGTCTAGAAAATTCAAAAATAGTAAAATTTAAAATTTTCCCTAACTTGGTCATTAGATTTAATGCAATTTCTATCCAATGATAATAATATATACATTTTAATAGACAGAGACAATATTTTTCCAAACTACACTATAGGTGCAGGACCTAGAATAACTTTAAAAATATCTGGAAAAATAAAGACCAATCTACTTGATGTTTACACTTAAATACAGAATTGACTTCACACTGACCTGATGACAATGGATTTTGGTTTGGTGTGTATGGCTAAAGTAATCAAGGCAAAATGGTATCAGAGGAAGACTATGGACAGAGATTAATGGGATGGAATAGAGATCGAGAAATACACTCACACAAATATGTCCAACTGATGTTTGACAAAGGTACAAGAGCAATTGAATGGAGGAAAGATAGACTTTTCATCCAATGGCACTGGAGCATTTGGAATTCATAGCCCCCTCCCCCAAAAGTGAATCTCAACATAAATTGTACAACTTGAAAAAATTAACTTACAATGGAGCTCAGCTTTAGATGAAAACTTGATACTACATAACTTTTAGGAGGAAAAGAAATCAGAATAAAATATTCAGCATCTTGGGCTAGCCAAAGAGTTGACACCAAAAGCATGATCTATCTAAGGAAAGATTGATGAAACAAGACCTCATCATCTGAAAACTTTTATAGTATCAGTGCAGAACCCCAGGGGATGAGGATGAAAAGAAAAGCTACAGACTGAGAGAAAATATTTGCAAACCACATTTGTGATGTGACAAAGGCTCAGTATCCAGGATATATAAAGAAATCTCCAAACTCAATTGTAAGAATACAAGCAATGTAATTTGAAAACAATCATTAAAAAACAAACAAACCAGGAAGAATCTCATTGAAGAGAATAAACAGTGGGCAAATAAGCACAAGAAAAGATCATTCAAGTCATTAAGTATTAAGGAAATGTATATTAAAAACACAATGAGATAATACTACACACTGAGGAACGGGTAAAATGCAAAATAATGAGAACGCTAACTAAAACTAGTGAGGGTGCAAGAAAATTAAAAATCTTATGTATGAGTTATGGGAATATAAAATGGTATAGCAAGTCAAGAAATAAAATAGATTAGTTTGCTATCAACTTAACATTCTCTTAACACATGCTGTTGCCCTTATGTGCTTTCAAGTCAATTCTCTGACTTGTAATGACCCTGTGGTGGCACTGAGCTTCTGGGCCATCCTCACAATTGTTGCAACGCTTTGGCCCACTGTGTTGCCAGTGTCAATCCACCTCATTGAGGATCTTCCTATTTTCACTGACCCTTCACTTTACCAAGTCTGATGTGCTTCTTCCCATAGCATGACCAAGTGAGACAAAGTCTCCCTAGCTTCACTTCCAAGGAGCACTCTGGGAGCATTACTTTCAAGACACATTTGCTCATTCTTCTGGAAGTCCGTGATATATTCAATATTCTTTGTCAACGTGTAAGTCAAATGCATAAATTCTTCTTCAATCTGTTCAGCTTTCATATAAATGTGATTTTTAAACAATGGCATGGATTGGGTGCACCTTGGCTCTTTTAACACTTTAAAGAGGTCTTTTGCAGCAGATTCGCCAGACACATCCTTTGATTTCTTAACAGCTGCGATCATGGGCATTGATTGTGGGTCCATGCAAAATTGAATCCTTGACAACTCAACCTTTTTAAAAAAATCATTTTATTAGGGGCTCCTACAACGCACAAGACATGCATGCATCCATTGTGTCAAGCACATTTGTACATTTGTTGCCATCATCATTTTCAAAATATTTTCTTTCTACTTGAGCCCTTGACATCAACTCGTTTCCCTCCATCATGAACCGCTGACAATTTGTAAATGATTATTTTTTTCATGTCTTTTTACCCCCATGTCTTACACTGACCGATGTCTCCCTTTACCCACTTTTCAGTTGTCCGTCCCCCAGGGAGGGGGTTATAGTTCGGTCATTGTGATCCGGACAACTCAACCTTTTCTCTGTTTATCACGATCTAGCTTATGGGCTCCGTTGTGGGGATTGGTGGTATTCTATGTTTAGTTATAATTCATACTGAAGGCTATGTTCTTTGACCTTTATCGGTAAATGCTTCATGTCCTCTTCATTTCCACCAAGCAGGGTTGCGTTATCTGCATATCACATATTAAGGAGTCTTCTCCTAATCCTGATGATGTGTTCTTCATTTATATAGTCTTTGATTATTTCTTTAGCTATTTGCCCAGCAAATAGTATACTGAAAAGATTCAAATGCAACGCTGATGGAAAGAACTATATACATATTCAAATAGGTTCATGTAAAACTGGTGAAATTAGAATAGAGTGGACTGATTGTATCAGTGTCAATGTTCCATTTGTCATATTGTCGTTTATTTATGGAAGATGTTGCCATTGGGGAAAACCGAGTGAAGAGTATTAAGTATAACACTATAATATTTTTTAACCACTACTTGCAAGTCTATAAAAACCGAACTCACTGCCATTGAGTCGATGCCAACTCGACTCTATAGGACAGGATAGAACTGCCCCTGTGAGTTTTTGAGACTGTAACTGCTTATTGGGGAAGAAAGCCTCATCTTTCTGCCACAGAAAGGTTTCGAACTGCTGACTTTGGTGATCACCACCAGGGCTCCTTGCAACTCCATAGAATCTACAAATTTCTCAAAATAGAAAGTTGAGGAAAATGAATATTGAGATCATCTATGCTCCCATCTCCATTTAATAAACAGACAAAATGAAGCATGAAGATAATTATCAGTTTAATTTGTATGAGACTGTTAAGAAGTCTTGGTTAAAAATGCACCTTCATTCCCGTTCTCAATTCGGAATTCAAGCCTGGAACTAATACAAGGGCCACTAATATTTGCACTATTGAAGAACCTGTCAGAGAAACTCCACTAGCCACTCTACGCACTTGCCCCGTTCAATTGAGCCATTTGATAATAAGTAAGTTTTTAAGATACTAGGTTTTAGGATAGTTTCTTATGCAGTAAGTGGATTACTACATCAAGCAAAATGAACAAGTGGCTGTGGGCAAATAGATGAGCTTTTCAACCCGAGTCAGTTTACTGACTTCAATGCTAGGATCCGTGTTTGTGTGTTTGTCCCAAGTTAGTTCCTGAAGCCCATGCTCCTTAATAATCTCTAAGTATGTTGGGAGATAAGAGTGGAAGATGAAGATACAAAGGAAATTGAACAAATAGTTCTTGACCTTAAATAATTTGTAGTGAGACAAAATAAGTGCAATAAATGTTGCAAGAATAATTAGAAGTCACCCCCCCCCACACACACACACAAATTCAATGTATTATGGAGCAGCATGTTCTTATTAGGTACCCATGAGCCAGTCTCAGCTCACATCAACCGTACGTATAACCAAATGAAACACTGTCTGGTCTTTCGCCATCCTCAGAATCTATTTGGGCACAATATACTACAGCACACATTGAACACATGTAACCATGTATGGTTCCTTATACACAGGATGGAGCCTAGACGTTTAGGGGCCCGAAGGCAATATTTCAAAAAGGGCCCCCTTTCCTTTTTTAATGGTGATATAAACATGCCCAGCTATGCAGGGGCTAGTTGCAATTTTCCTTTGCTTTCTGTTCCTTTTTTGGGGGCGAGGGGAGAGCCTCCATTTCCCCGAATATCCATTTTTTCATCGATAAATTATAGATAAACGAGAGGAATGAGTTGAAAGTCAAGCCATCAGAATTGGAATCGCAAGCCTGTCATTTATGAGCTGTGTGACTTTGAGTCTGTCATCTCCCCTGTCTTAATTCCCCCATCTGTGACTTGAAAAGATGGCAAGGAGTGTTCCAGAAGATCCCCACCAAATCCCATCTCCCCTCACCCCGAAAGGAGATTGGTGGAATTAACGCAATTTTGGAGTAGTCTGTATGGGGATATGCAGAGCTTCAGCAATGCCATTGTGACTTCAAGGTTGGGCGATTGGCTTTTCTTCAGAATGGCAGCGACTGCTTAGGACCCTTTGGATGATGGGTCCCTGAAAGTGCTCAAGCAGAAGATGGTTAGTAGAAAGAGGACAGTTATTAGTGGAGACCCTCTCTGTGGGGCTTGAACTGGGGGAAAAGCGATTTCTATGTTCTTCAACCCCCCCCTCCCCCACCTACACACATCCTGGCCTTCAACTAAACCAAAGCTTTGTCAATTTGTCACCATGGGAGGCTGGGAAAACCCCCCCCATCCGCTCCCCACCGCCCCAAATGAGAAGTTCTCCTGCAGCGCCCGGCGCGCCAGACAAGGTGCATCCAGGAAGACCATTGGGGAGGTTGCCTGCTTCCAGGCAGGGGAGATGGAAAGTAGCCAGAGAGGTGGGGGTGCCCTCGCGGGAGGACCCAAACGGAGGGGATCTCCTAGGTGAGTCCTAGGCGAAGAGGGAGGAGGGGTTGGCGGAGATGTGCGGCCCCTTTAAGACCCCAACGCTTGCCTCGCCAAAGGAAGGGGGGGGGGCAGTGGGGACGCGGCTTGATGGGAAAGTCGCCGGCCGAGCCTCGCACTTTCTCCCGATTTCTTAACTTTCGGGTTGGAGGGGAGCAGCAATAAAGCCGTGGTGCCTTGGGGGACAGGGGCGCGTGGGCTGGGATCCGCAGTGAGCGGCCGCGAGGAACTTCCCGCCCGCGGCGCTCGGCTCGGGCGCTGACTCTCCGGCCGCGGGAAGGGAAGAGCCTGTCGGCAGGCAGGTGGCCCCGGGCCGCTGCGCCCGCGCCCGCGCCCTGGGCTCTGCCCTTGCGAGCCCCGCGAGCCCCCGCTCACTGGAGAGGGCGGTGATTCTGCCCCTCCCACCCCCTCTTGCCCACCCCGCCCCCCTGGGCGCGCACTTTAGCTCTCGCCACAACCTGCGAGCCCTGGACCTCGGAGGAGCACCTCGGGGAGCTCGGCGCGCGTGCCCGCGTGGCAGCCGGAGGAGGCCTGTGCCCAGGTCAGTGAGTAGTGCCCTGCGCCCGCGCCTACCACCCTTCTACCCGCCCTGATACACAGGTAGGGTGTCAGCTGTTCACCACAGTGGCCTCTGGAGGTTCCCACAGGGTGCCCTGGATCTGGCCCCATTTACCAACCCCCCAACCCAGATGCCCAAGGCCGGGGGGCAAAGGGAGGGACTGGGGGCAAGTTGGGGCCTCGGGATTCGAACTCACTACTCGCCGCTCGGCCCACCTTTCTCCAGTCCCTGGTCCTTTGCGAAGTTGCCTATGGATTCCTAAACTGAGTTGTCTAACTGGCTTCTGCAGTTCCCAGAATCACAGCGCTTGTCCCAAGCCTGTTTTCTCACTTGCTGAAGTGCCCTGGCCCCTGTGGGTGATTAATGAGTGCCAAACTTTAATGAAATGGGGCGGTTGGGGCTAGAGGCTCTTCTCTCCACTGGATGCCTGACTCACGGCAGGGGTGGGGGTGTGGGGTGGAGGGGGGGGCATACCGCCAGAGTGGGATGTTGAGACACTAGGCTCAGGAGGCAGCGAAGCAGGGCTAGAACATAAAGGCTCAAAGTCCCAAACCCTAATTTTGAGAACCTCTCAGCCTTAACCACTCCCTCCCTCCCACAAACTGAGGCAGTCACTGGAGTTCCCTGGGCCCCAGGGAGCCCATTTTGTTATGAAGAGTAAAATCCAGTGATAGACAGGAAGGCGGTGTGCAAGCCAAATGCAAGACATTGCTTGTCATCCAGCAGCAGCAGTGAAGACTTTGAATACAGAGAGCCAGGGCTGCATCTGCCACTCTTCCCTGGCCACCCTTGAAGTGAGTTTTTTTCTTGTGCAGGGAGAGGGGAAGAGGATTTCAGTTGATGGACGAGGGCCCCAGGACAACAAGGTCTTCTTATTGTTTGTCAGAAAGAAAATTGTTGCCCTGGAAGCTGTCTCCACAAAGGAGAGTGGATGTCAAATGACAAGGTCAAGTCAAGTCTCTGTAGAGGATTAAAGGGACCCTGTGGAAGTGTGAAGGGCTGGCTGACGTGTGCTCATCCCATGGTCTTCTCTTGGGGATAACTACTTGGCTTCATTCTACCCAGGAGACTTGCTCTGAGGGGAGACTCCTGTCACTTGATGGCCCAGACTGCCTTACAGTTTACAGCTGAGCAAGGGGCAGTGGGTCCCTTTGCTTGCTGCAAGTGAACAGTGTGAATGCTTGTTTCACATCCGTACCGTAATAGAGAGTGGTCTTTTGGTATGTGACAGGTTTTTTGCTCTTTTGTAAAACTCCCTTGCCCTCACCCCCTGCTAGTTGCAGGGTTTTGTTTTCTTTGTTGCTTTCTGGTTGAGTCCTAGGCTTCCTCCCCCATCTTCCCCCCCACATGCCAATGACTGCATTTCTAAGTAACCTGTAAAAGAGCCAGTGCAAGTTCAGTGACACACTAGCCAGTGTGAAGCAGACAGAGAGTTAATGCAGAAATAACTCCAGTTAACTGGGTCAAAATATAATTTGAAAAATTAAGGACAGTTTGGCTCTTTGCAAGAGTACGGCTTGACACGTTTGCCGAATGTTGCTTGCTGGTATTTACTGCTGCATTTTCAACAAATGTCTTGAATCTTTCTTTCCCAAAGGGGTAGTGCTGGTGCTGGGGAGAACCAACTAAGTGAAAGATATTAAGGGGCGATGTGGAAAGGGCACCCCTCTCAGTTTATAGTTCTACACAGAACAGTGCCACGGCAGGATTTGAGGATCTTGTAACTCAAAAGTGAAAATTGATGAGGCGATTTGTTTTCGGGTGTTCTCTCCATCACAGCCTGTGAGGCTTCACAGATGACAGGAAGGCCAAACGAGATTCATTGCCCTCTAGTCACCAACGTTACTATTTGGGACCCAAGAAAAGCAAAGGGATTCTGAGAGCCGTTTTCCTGCCAGTTGGAGTTATGAAGCAATGCTACTGTTCACTGAATTGCCCAACCATTGTACAAGAAAAACAACCCTGTTGGTTCTTGCATGAGGAGTCCCGAAAACTGCACTTTCAAAAATACACCCCCTGAGATCCATGAGTGATTATAATACATTGGATTTAAGCACCTAAAAAAAAAACCTCGAATGGAGGTTTGAAGGATAAAGTTATGAAAGTTAGCTTCGGAAGTGCCACACAAAGGCAGATAATGCTGGTAAATTCTTCATGGAAATGATTTGCTTCAAGGGAACCTGGTGACTCAAAAGGGACAGTCATTCTGAGTGATTTGCAAGTGAACCGCACATTCACATGAGACTAAAAAGTCAAAACCCAGGGCTTTGTAAGGTTAGGAACATGTTCTAGAAGATATGTTCTTTGTTTCGGGAGTAGGAAGGAGGTAGAGAAGGCAGGTGGGTGTTTCCAATCCTTCCTGATACCAAAACAAACAGACAAAACTCCAAGCTCACTGCCACCAAGTCGATTCTGACTCATAGCAACCCTATAGGACAGGGTATAGCATCCCGGATGGGTTTCTGAGGCTCGGTAGCCTCATCTTTCTCTTGTGGCGTGGCTGGCAGATTTGAACTGCTCACTTTGTGATTAGCAGCCAAACGTGGAACCCATTCTGCCACCAAGGCTCCTTATCCTTCCTGATAGCACAAATGATTCTCTGTGATTAATTTCTCTTTCGTGAGACCTTCATAAATGGATTTTTTTCAACGATCGAGCTAACTTCTCGGTATGTAAGTAGAAGCTGTGCATCCACTTTAGAGCCCACAACCAAAACAACAAACTTGCTGCCATCGAGTCAATGCGACCACAACAGCCCTGTAGGATCGGGTAGAACTGCCCCTGGGGGTTTTGACACTGTAACTCTTTAAAGAGAGTAAAATGCCCCATCTTTTGTTCTTTCATTTTCAGTATCAATTTCATTAGCACTTCATCCACATGTCATACAATTCCATAATTCAATCATATCAAGAAGAGTTGCACAATTATCAGCACAATCAAGGCTAGAACATTTTCTTCTTCCTTGTACTCATTATTATTCACGTAATTATTTATTCTTACTGTGGCAAAAATATACACAATAAAACATTCTCCAAATCCACAACCTTTACATGTGTAATTCACTGTCATTGGTCATACTCTTCGTGTTGTACAAGTGTTATTGTTATCCTTTCTAAATTATTCCACCACCATTAACATAAACTCAATGCCCCTAAGCAGCAAGTCTTTCTCCTTCACCCATGGTAACCATCGGTCAAGTTGGGTTTCTTTCTTTCTTTCTCTTTTTAGTAGTAGTAGTTTTCTTTATATAGTAGTCACATATCTTACACTTCCATGGTTAAATCGCTTTAAAAAAGAGTTGTATATATATAATCACAATCAGTTCTCATGTTCCCTCTTCTCCTCCAACATTCATTGTTTGCTCCTCAAATCCCATCCCCTCTCCCCACCAATGGACTGTTTTTCTCCTGCAGAGCTGCTGGTGGCCTGGCACTGTAATCACTACTCCCCCAGCCTCCTCACTTTCAGAGCTCAAAGACATTTCAATTCTCCAGAACGATCTTTTTGCATTCCTTTGCTTTGTTAATACTCAAACTTTAAGTTGGACCCTTTGGAAGAGATCAATGGATTCCATTTCTACTCAGGGTTAACTTGAGACTGAGTGTGGGATTTCTAGACTATGGAAACATTTTCAAGTCACCTATTGGGGCTGTACAAACTGTGGTTTAATGACTTGTGACTGGATATGAGCTATGTATATAGCAAACATTCTGGGGTTCGCTGCTCCAAAGTTAAAACTTCCACCCTTTGGAATGGTAATACAAGTGTCATATTTTTATATGAATTATAGCTGCCTTGAAGATAGAATTAATAAACTGTAGTTTTTTGCATGGTAGTGCACTATGAACAAGGTGAATTTAAATTTACCTAAATTCGATTTTAAAGGGCCCATTTAAAATGTCCATTTCACAGTGGCCTTCATGGTGGAGGGATATGTCTGAACCATACTAAGCTATAAAACAATTTTCAGGTGTTTAATGGGATCTCTTTGATAATTGCATCTGTTTTTCCTAACATACATAGCCATACTGGAGGGATTTATACACAGACCACATAGAAGACACAGGAGAAACAGCCGTGAAAGGCCAATAGTAATGGTAGGTGTGGAGCTAAAATTAGTTAAGTTTCCTTTCAGAAATGGCCTGGGTCTCACATTTTGACTTTTACTTTATTTGCCCAAATAGCCTTGTTGCAGATTCTACCTCTCCTTTTCTTCCAAAGATTCCCTTCAATCACTTCAATTCATGGTGGAAGGAGGATTTCCAAGTTTATTCTGTCCTGTCTTAGCCCAAGGCTTGTGTAGGACTGTAGGTTCGTTAACCTGTGTGTTTGTCCATGATCTTTGAAACCAGGAGAGGTCAGTGCTCATCCTTCTATAAGAAAACTGTGCTTGTCCTCTCTCTCTCTTTTTTTCTAGCAAGTTAGAAGCCTAAGTTTCAATGATTTCCATTAGTTCCACAGTATGTGTCTTAAGTCTCACTGTTCTACTCCCCCTCCCACCTCCCACTTTCTTCCCAACAGCTCCTGTACAGCAGGTCTAGGAAGGTTCCTGATTGCCATTTGCAGTGGACACAATTGAGAAAAAATCGGAAGATGGGAGGCATGAAACACATCTTTTTCTGCTTCCTCTTCTTTCTTTTCCTAGAAGGAAGCAAAGCAGAGCAAGTAAAACGTAAGTAGCTGAAGTTTGTGGGGTTTTTTGGAGGGGGTGGTGGTGGATAAATTTTTTTAAAGTTTTTGAAAATGTGGTTATGATCTGTAGGGATTGTGATTTAGCCCAAATGTAGCCATGCCGTTATTCGACAAGAGGAAAGTGAATGTTACTGGTTTATGCATGCGTTGATAAAAGAATTTGAGACTGTTTTTCTGATTCTCATGTAGTTTTTGAGACTGCTTTTCTGATTCTCATGTAGTTTTCATCTCGTCGATCACATGACACATTATTAGCCTATTGTCCTTTTCCTGTTCTAAACTTTACAAATCTCATTCTATTTTACGTAACTCTAGAAATATCTGACAGATGAACTGGATTTTCCCCTATGTTTCAGACTCTTCAGCAAAGCCTTTCAGTTTATGGTGAGGACGAAGAAGAAAGAGAAGGAAAGGAAGGAAAGAAAGAAGGAAGGAAGGAAATAATAATAAAGTAGACTGTCAATTCCCTTCTGCCTTAAATATAGAAGGGAAAGAACCTCCCCATGAACTGAATTCAGATGAAAAATCCTTTGAGGAAATTGAGATTCCAGAGACTGTTAGTAAACTGGATGCTATTGATTGAAATGAATGTCCCTGCAAAGTCAGAGGATGTTTCTAGGAAGTCAGTGATCCATGTGGTGGGCAAACACACTGGAGAACGCAGAGAGTGGCAAGAAAGGGGAATAATTAACCCTATTTTTAAAATCAATTTATTGGGGTTCATACAATTCATCACAATGCATAGATCAATTGTATAAAACACATCTATACATTTGTTGCCCTCATTATTCCCAAAATTCGCTTGCCTCTTGGGTTCCCGGAATCAGCTCATTTTCCTTTTTTTTCCCCTCCCCTTTATTAACTGTCACCTCTGGGGGATTTATGAGCAACCACTGACATCTGTCTTCTTAGGAACTGTCTGCTTGCTGCCTTTGCATAGAATGGGCCTTATCTTCTTTGGGCCACTTGCCCAGAGTGGGGGACATTTGCTCCAAATTCGAAGGACAAGCTATAGCTCAAATTCCCCTCTTAGGCTGCATCAAAATTAGCACAAAGTAGAATTGGTTCAAGGAGACATTCTCTGCTCCATTAGCTATATTCATGAGAAGGAACTGTGAAAAGATTTTGGGTAGGCGCTGACACACCCTCTGAAGCCGTCATTTAAACAAGTATCTTCTTTCTCAGCATACTTTAAACGTATTAGGCAGGAAACTTGTTGACAGGGAGAACCATGCTAAGCTATTGCATCGTGATGTGTGTTTCTGTGTCACTACCTTTTGCATAGTAAATTTAGTTCTGTTCCTGGGAGAAACAGTGCTTTTAATGAAGCTTTTAAGCGTAGTGTTCTGTGGTGATATCTGGAGGACTGAGACATGAGATACTTTTAGTAGGGCAAGGCTAGCTTGGTCAGCCTCTCCCTTTGTGTGCTTCAAACTGCCTTCTTCTCCTTTCACTTGAATATAGTCCATCTCAGACCTCTTCTCTTACAAAAGTCCTCCTTGATTTTAGTATATGTGCTAATAATGCTGTCCATTCATTCTCAGTTCAGCTCATCATCAGCTGTGCTTTAAAATCCCTCCACACACAGAGAGAAACTTCCCTGATACCCTGTTACTGATGGCATGGGGAGGAAGTTTGTAACTCTTAGAAGACATCTCTTCTTGGAAGACTTCCATTTTTAGAGAATTACTGTCTATGCAATTTAGAGATTACCTGACAAACCAAAGAACGATCTTAAATATTTATGGACCAAGAACCTACCACTTTCTAACATTTTCTTTGTCTTAAACTCACTGCCATTGAGTCGATGCCAAATCACAGCAACTCAATAGGACAGGGTAGAACTGCCTGTGTGAGTTTCCAAGACTAACTATTTCTGGAGTAGAAAGCCCCGTCTCTCAAAAATTTATCCCAAGCCCTTCTAAAAATCAGTATGTGTCAAAGTGATTATGTAACAGATGGTCCTGGACACCAATTCTAGTGTAGTGTCTCATGCTTCTAGTCCAATGAGCTACCCGCAAATTTTTTTTTTAAATCATTTTATTGAGGGCTCGTACAACTCTATCACAATCCATACATAAATCTGTTGTGTCAAGCACATTTGTACATTTGTTGCCATCGTAATTCTCAAAACATTTTCTTTCTACTTGAGTCCTTGGTATCAGCTCCTCAGTTTCTCCCCTCCTTCCCGCAAAATTTTATAGGAGACCTCATGTGAGCTTGGGGTCTTGAAGACATTTGCAAAGTTATCACCATTAAATCTCAAATATATGCCATATAGATATGTTGCTTTGACATACACACACACCCATATATACATTTACACATATATATCTTTTTCCGACAGACACAGCATATACATGGTGATTTGCATTGTGGCTGTAAGTTAAATTCAGTGCAAATACCAGTTCATGGAGAAATAGTTATATAAATGATTGATGTCATGCAATGTCATGCTACCATCAGAAGCCCTACTTACTGAAAATTTAGTGGTCCTAGATCATGGTTATGTTTTAAAATGTCCAAAATTGCAAAATGAGTGGATGTTCTTTATATAAAAGAAATTAAATTATCTAGGCTTCATCGACAGTATGTATTCCTCAATATCTTATCCCACTCTCTAGAGATAACCTCAATAATAGTTTGCTATGTGTTCTAAACTCTTTTCCTGTTATAAAAGCATAAATGCATGCTAAGATTTTTTTCTTGTTACAAAAATAAGATTATATGTATGTGTGTGTGTGTGTACAGTATGAGGAGCTCTAGTGATGTAGTGGTTACACATTGGCTGCTAATCACAAGGTCCGAAGTTAGAAACCACCAGCTGCTCCATGGGAGAAAGATGAGGCTTTCTACTCCCATAAAAAGTTACAATCTCAGAAACTCACAGGAGCAGTTCTGCTCTGTCCTATAGGGTTGCTATGGATTGGCATTGACTTTATGGCAGTGAGTTTGATTTTTAAATATATGTATATGTATATATACATATTTATCTTGTTTTTACTCAATAATGGATTTAGAGCATAGAAAGCCAATAGTGTCATGTTCTTTATAATGCCTTTATAGTTTTTATTTGCATAAATATGATATCCTGTATTTAACTAGTCCCTATTGGTATATAAAGGAACTCTGATGGTATAATGGATTAGTAAGCATTAGACTGCTAACCACAAGGTCAGTAGTATGAACCCACCAGCTGATCTAAAGGAGGAAGAGGAAGGCACAGATCTATTCTGTCTTATAGAATCTCTGTGAGTTGGAATCAACTTGATTCCATGGATTTGGCTTTTTGGTTTTATTGGTAGATTGTAAGAAGTCTTAGTGTGGTAGTGGGTTAAGTGTTGGGCTGTACTCCATGGGAGAAAAGAGGAGTCTGTTTGTTCCCATACAGTGGTAACAGTCTCAGAAACCCGAAGGAGCAGTTCTGCTCTGCCCTGCATGGTTGTTATGAGTCAGAATCCACTGGATAGCACTGCGTGTGGCTTTTTGGCTTTATTGATAGACATTAAGTTTGATTCCAGTTTTTGCTATTACTTGTAATGTGTTAATGAACATCTTTAAGTACCTCGGTAAGGGACTGTTAGGTCACAGTGTGTATTTATTTAGTTTTGAATTTGATAAATATGGCTAAATTCCCTTCATAGAAGCTGTTTCAATTTATAACTTTTATTATCTGTGTAACACTACATTTCTATTTCATTTCATCAAAAGTATTAATGATCTTTATATTTGGAATCCAATTTAATAGAGATAAATTATTTTATTTTGCTGTGCTATTTTTCTGTGACTGAAGTCGAGTACCTTTGCTATTATTTTAGATGTCGCTTGTATTTTTTTCAGTGAAAATTGCTTGTCTTATTGATTGTAATAGCTTATTGTAGTTAAGGTTATGTACTTTATTTTCAAATGATATTTTTTGAGCCATCCATTTGTTTTAAACTTTTAAGTTGTATTTTTGCAGGTCAAACTCACTGCCATTGAGTTGATTCTGACTCAAAGCAACCCTATAGGACAGGGTAGAATTGCTTCTGGAGGTTTCCAAGGCTGTAAATCTTTACAGGAGCAGAAAGCTTTCTCTTTCTGCTGTGGAGTAGCCCCTGGGTTTGAATTGCTGATCTCATGGTTAGCATCCCATTGAGTAACTCGCTATGCCACTAGGATGCTGATATTTCCGTAGAGATGAGTTACATGATTTTATGTAGTCAAAAGAGTCATTCATTATTTCATGGCTTTCAGATTTCTTGTTACTCCTTGGAAGATCTTCCCCACCTTACATGTTTTCCTGATGCTTTCTTCATTTTGGGTTTTACTTATAGTTCCTTATTCATCTGAAATTTATATTCATATATGATGTGCAATCGGAAGCTTTACAAAAACGCTAGGTGGTAGTATTATGTATATTATTTTTGTTCATCTTGATACTTGAACAAGGTTTCTACAGTTTGCAAATATTACTCTTGGAACAGGGGAAACCTCCTTTAAAGGAAAGAGACATTTTCATTCTCATACTTTTACTCTCTAATCCAGTTGGGCTGCTAACTGAAAGATCAGCAGTTCGAAACCCTCAGCCACTCATTGAAAAAAGAAAAGACAGTCCGTTTTACTCCCATTAAGCGGTACTAGATAAAAAACAATGGCAGCATGTGTACAAATATGCCCAGTACAATTGATGTACGGCTTTCAGTAGGAGTTGTCAGAGCCCCCAATAAAATGATCTTTTAATAAAAAATTATAAAGAAGAAGAAAAGAAAATATATTGAAAATGATGAGGGCATGCTGTTTGCTGCCTATGGTCGACTGCCTGTATTACTCCTCAGAAGACTCAGCTGTCTGCTTCCTTGACTTGCAGCCAGCAGCCCTTGTGAATTGGACTGCCAGTGAATTAACTGTCTCACAGAGTCATTTTCATGTGGAGACTCTGCTGAAACCTGTCCACCTACTGGTGTTTGAAATACTAGTAGCATGGTTTCCAGCATCACA